GAGGTGGTGGAGAAAGCTGTGCAGTTTGTGCCGTGTTCAGGGGGGTACATCTCTCTTCTTGCTGACTGCACTCAGCTGCTTGGGTGCCCAGGTCCCAGCTTTGGGGACAGCAGAAGGCAGGTGTGCGATGTCCCCTTCCTCTGGGCTCCCTGGCAGGGTGCACTTGGTGCCTCAGGGCTGTGGGGAGAGTGCTGGGGGTCAGCCCAGGAAAGCCCTGGGCACAGTGAGAGCCCACAGCCATGGGGCTTTGTGGGGTGGCTGTGGGTTTTGGCTGCTCTGACAGGGCTGGGGTCACACAGGACGAGAGGAGAAGCCTCCACATCACTCACCTCCCTGCTTCTGCATCCCAGCAAAGCCCAGGCTGTGTGCAGTGACCCTCAGCCTCCCAGATGGGCCAGATCCATCCACCCCAGTGCAGAAGGGCTCTCATGGTACCACTTCCAGCGGGAGGAGGTCTCCTCCCAGCCAGCTGGCAGCCAGCAGGGATGTGGTGGGGTATTTTGGGTAATATTGTGCAGGGAATTGTTGAAATGCTTTGTTTTGATGATGATGATGATTATTATTACTGTTATTTTTTTCCCCGCTGAGACATTTTTGGAATAGTTTGTTTTTGCTGAATTCCCAGCTTGCAGCCTTGCAGCCCAAGCTGGAATAAAGCCACAAGTCAAAAGCTGGGCATTTCTCAAGCAGATGTTTTCTCCAGTCCTGTGGGAAAGGAGCCCAATCAGCCTCCTGTCCCCTTTGGAGCCACCCCAGTAAAGGTGACTGGGGCTCCTCCAGCTGGGGAGCTCAAGCGCCCTGCCACAAGATGCACTGGGGCCAGGAGGAGCTAAAATACCAGCTGGGGCTGCTGCAAGGCTGGGAATGGGCTCTGGGCCAGTGGCAGAGCTCAGCTCCCTGGATGGGAGGAGATGCTTGGAGGGTCCCCACTTTCCCCGGCCCCACTGACTCCATTGCAGGGAGCTGGGAGCTGTGTCTGGCTTCTCCTGTCCACTTTGAAGCATCACTGGTTTAGCTGGGACAAGCAAAAGTCACAAGCTGCTGGTGTATCTGGAGCGAGGATGGAGGTTTAGACGTCTGCAGGGGTCAGGGATGGGTCTGGATGTGGTCTGATGAGTCTTTTAGTGGTGATTGAGGTTATTAAGGTTTTTCTGTCAAGTGTTTGTGGAGGTTGTCCTGCCAAGTTCCTGCATCCTTGCGGTGCTGTTCCCACGGATCTGCAGTTTTCCTGTAGCCTTGTCTCCCTCATGGTCAGGGTACATGAGGTGACTCCGTCTTTGATGGGTGTGAAGATGCAGGTGGTGGGAGGAAGCCCTGCTGTCTGTGGGGAAGGGGAAGCCACCTCCTGCTGTCCTGTTGTTCTCTATTTATTGTCCTTTCCTGCCCCCATCCCGTGCAGGAGCCTGCAGGGAGGAGGGCAGAGCAGTGAGGGGGGCTCCTGTGCCCTGCCAGCTCTTGGGGACATGCTTGGGGCTGCCATGCCCAGGGCAGGGGGGATAGTGGGTCAGCCCTGGGTTTTTGGGGACAGCACAGGGGCAGAGCCATGGGCTGCGTGGCCCCTTGCTGGGGTGTCAGGGAGGCTCATGGCCAGGGGCTGTGGCCATGCAGGGTCCCATCCTGGGGCTGTGAGCGGGGTGCCTTAGCTGGACGGAGCCTGCTGCATCCAGGCTGGGCATCACTGGGGGACAGGTCTCACCCCACCCTGCCCAAACCTCGGCCCCATCCCATTGCTTTTCCATAGCCTGTGTTTAACAAACTCTCTTGGGTTCTCCTGGTGTTTTTTTTTAATCACTCCCATCATTCTGTCGCTTTTCCCCATTTCCCCTCCCTGCCCCTTGCCTGTCGCTCCCCGCTGCCTTGGACCCCCAACACCTCTTACCCTCCAGCCAGACCCTGCTGGTGTTCAGGTGGCTCTGAAGGGATTTTATTTTGGCTCACTGGCTGCCCTGCCTGATTTAAGTTTAAAGCATCCCATATGTGGATGGGTGGCCCCAACACCAAGAGCTTGCCTGAGCGGACCCTCAGCGGGGCTGGCAGCAGGAGCCCTCCCAGCTGAGGTCTGGCTGTGGGGCTGGGGGCTGTGGGGGCTGCACCCTTCCCTGTGGGGCTCTGCTCTGGCTCATCCCCACCCCAGTCCTGGTGCCTGTGGGCAGGAGAGGGGCCAGCTGGGGGGCTGCTGGCTTCACACTGAGTGTGTTTTGGTTCTCTTGCAGGGAAGGTGACTGGTGGCTGGCTCATTCCCTCACTACAGGACAGACGGGCTACATCCCCAGTAACTATGTCGCGCCCTCAGACTCCATCCAGGCTGAAGAGTAATTGCCATCTTTTAGACAGTCTAAAGTTGAGCGATAGCAAACGCACCCTGAGCGCTTCCCCTTCCCCTGCCCCTCTCCTGGGTAAAGCCTGCAAGGCCCCCGACTTGTTCCTTTTTGTTATTTTTTTTCCCCTTTGCATTTGCAAACCCCTTAAACATTTTCCAGCCTTTCTTTAAGGCCCGTACAGTGTGGGGTGCTGGTGTGGTGGAGGGATGAGCGGTGGCAGAGCAGGGGCTGTGGTGGACCTGATGCTTTTGGTCTGGTTTTCACTCTTCCACACGGACACGCATCCATACGTGAGGATGCTGCTGGCTCTCCCTGTGCAGATCAGGCTGAGCGCAGAGGTGACCATCACACGGGGAGAGCAGGCAGGGGCAAAGCTGGCCCTGAATTGCAGAGCAGGAGGTGCCAGCCACGTCCCCACAGCCTGTCCCCAGCCAGTGGCACAGCGTCCCCCCCAGCAAGAGCTTGGGGGCCTTCAGGGGTCCCCAGAGCCCCTCATCTGGGGAGGCTTTTGGAGTGAAGGCGTTTTGTGTTCTGTGGTGCAGGGTTGCTCCTTGGGCAATGCCCAGCCCGGGCTGTACAAGGGCATGGCACACCCTGAGGTGCAGCTCGTGATCTCCAAAATCTACAAGGAGGGGGTGAGGGCTGAACCTGCTGCTTGGAACAGCAACGAGGGGGTGGGCGAGTGCTGGGCACTGAGCTGCTGCCTTGCTCTTGCAGGTGGTATTTTGGGAAGATCACACGCCGGGAGTCCGAGCGGCTGCTGCTCAACCCTGAAAACCCCCGAGGGACCTTCCTGGTCCGGGAGAGTGAGACCACGAAAGGTGAGCGGGGCTGGTGGGACCAGCCTGGGGGAGCCCCTCTCTGGGGGTTGGGGGGCATCTGCATGGGGACCCTGGTCCCCTCGGTCACTCTCCACGGTCCCAATTCCCTCAGCTTTGGTGCACAGGGAGGGAGAAGGAGCAAAGTTGTACCTTGCGGAGAAGAGCCAAGGTTTGGGGTCGCTGAGCGATGCCCCTCAGCACGGGCACCTCCTGGGCTCTCCCTGCCAGTGCTGGTCCCCAGGGTGCAGGTGCTGCCACACCCGTTAAATCACTGGTGACCCCTCTACACCACCTGCACCATTAGACCAACAAGAGATGGTTCAGCTCATGGCAGGATGGGAGCCCAGTGCCCCACCAGCTCTTGCAGGACCACCAGGCAGGATGCTCTTTTTTCCCGTGCTTTGGGGGTGTTTTTTCTTCCTTTTTTTTTTTTTTTTTTACACCCCCAAGTAGGTGCATTTTGGTTTTTGCCCAGTCTCTATGTAGTGGCAAAATGTTGAACGTGTGCTTCCTGGGCAACAAGGCAGAGGTAGTGATGAATCTTTAGGTTCTTCTTTCAAGTCTAATGACTCTTTATGCTTGTTTTGTGCCTCCCAAAAGTGTGACCTGTGATCTTTGCAGTTCACTTGCCCGAGGATGCTGTTTCTTACCTGGAAATGTGGTTTAGTTTGGCTCCAGATGCCCCTTAGAGAAAAGCTCCTCGATGTTCCTTTCTGTTTTAACACCTTGAACTCACCACTATTTATTTTCTTCTGGTGGAAACAGCTCATTCAAGCAGCAGCATCTATCTTCTTTTCTGTTATTCGTGGCCCCAGCAGCGCAGTGTTGCTCTCGTGCAGGCAGAGCCCGGTCAGGATGTGGGCTCTCAGCTGCCGGGGCTGGGGGAGCAGCAGGGATCACCTGTGCCCAGGTGACTGACCCAATAGCCACCTCCTTCCACACTTGGGAGGGGCTGCCAGAGACCCCCCACCTCCATGCTGGCCCAGCTGGTGATGAGGCTTGGCAGAGCTGCCGTGCAAGCAGGGGCAGCTGGAGGTTGTGACTGCATGGCATGGCTGTAGCCGGGGGTACGTGCCAGCCCTCCCTGGCTCATGCACCCAGGAGCTGCTCCCCATCCTCTGGTTTTGTGTGAAATCAGCACCCTGCACACCCAGGGACCCCATGGGGAGCACCCATCTGTGGTGCACCCCCCACTCAGCCCCTCGGTCCTGCCCGCAGGTGCCTACTGCCTTTCTGTCTCCGACTTCGACAACGCCAAGGGGCTCAACGTGAAGCACTACAAGATCCGCAAGCTGGACAGCGGGGGCTTCTACATCCCCTCCCGCACCCAGTTCAACAGCCTGCAGCAGCTGGTGGCCTATTACTCCAGTGGGTAGACACCTGGGGGGTCCCCTTGGGGTCTGGGTGACACCCTGGGTGCTGTGCCTGCCCTCGCTGCAGGACAGGTGCTGCTGGTGAGGCAGTGTGGGGTTGGGGTCCCCAGACTGGTTGGGTGGTACCCCAGTGAAAAGCTGCATGGGCTTTAGGGAAGAAGGTGAGGGTTTGGGTGCGGGTCCCCGAGCTGTTTAGTGGGGAAAGATGTGGGGTAAAGACATCACATGCCTAAATGCTCAAGTGTCACCCTGGTGTTGTCCCCTCCTGTGCTAGAACATGCTGATGGCTTGTGCCACCGTCTCACCAACGTCTGCCCCACATCGAAGCCCCAGACCCAAGGCCTTGCCAAGGATGCCTGGGAAATTCCTCGGGAATCGCTGCGGCTGGAGGTCAAGCTGGGACAGGGCTGCTTCGGAGAGGTGTGGATGGGTAAGGACCATTCCCACCTCGCTGTCCCCACCTGCATCCTCTCCCCAGCATCTTCTCATGCCCAGAGCCTGCAGTGGGGTGGGGGAGCAGGCGAGGGACATGGCCCCCTGCCCCATAAACGTGTCCTGAGCAGCATGTCCTGTGCTGCAGGAACCTGGAATGGCACCACTCGGGTGGCGATCAAGACACTGAAGCCTGGCACCATGTCCCCAGAAGCTTTCCTGCAGGAAGCCCAGGTCATGAAGAAGCTCCGGCACGAGAAGCTGGTTCAGCTCTATGCTGTGGTTTCAGAGGAGCCCATTTACATTGTCACCGAGTACATGAGCAAGGGTGAGCACGGGGGGATGCCAGGGGAGCAGCCGAGGGGCTCTGCTCCTCAGGATTGCTGTGACCATAGTTTTCCTCGCAGGGAGCCTCCTTCCTGCAGGAAGCCCAGGTCATGAAGAAGCTCCGGCACGAGAAGCTGGTTCAGCTCTATGCTGTGGTTTCAGAGGAGCCCATTTACATTGTCACCGAGTACATGAGCAAGGGTGAGCACGGGGGGATGCCAGGGGAGCAGCCGAGGGGCTCTGCTCCTCAGGATTGCTGTGACCATAGTTTTCCTCGCAGGGAGCCTCCTGGACTTCCTGAAGGGTGAGATGGGCAAGTACCTGCGGCTGCCCCAGCTCGTGGATATGGCGGCTCAGGTGGGTTTGTGCATCTCCAGGCCTCCTGCATCCCCTTCTGAGGGTGCTGCCTGCCCAAGCACCTTGCTGGGCTGTCATGGCTGTTGCCTCTTGGGTGGTGGGTGCTCCGCAGCCTCACTCAGGTGGTTGCCACCATCCCCACTGGGTGCTCAGCCCACAGCTGGGTTGCAGTCAGGGACCATCGTGTTGCCCATTCCCATCGCTGCCAGCTCTCCCTGGCCAGCAAATCTGCATCTGCCTGGGTTTTCCTGAGCAATCGGCTGTTCCTGCACCCTGGGTGGGGTCCTGCTGCAGAGCTGTTCCCCTGGGTGGTGCCAGGTGCTCCCCAGGGACCTTCGTGTCACCCCACCAGACTCAGTGTCCCATGTGCT